ATGCTGCACCCGGCCCTGCTCGCGGCCGCTCAGCACGGCAACCCGGACTACGGGCACCTGAGGATGGACAGCAATGACCGGGGTAGCGACTGCAACTCCGGCGAGATCAGCTACGACGGAATTCAGCCTACAATATCCTTTAATAATGCAATTTATTAAGCCACTGTCGCTGAGCCAACGCTCGCCCGACTCGACGACGACGGTCGGCCGCGATACCATTACATCAGGATGACGATGCTACCGCGCTATCCGTCACGGTTTATAAAGGTTTATAGTTGGGGGCGTGGGGAAGGGGGTGTTAAATAGTGGGACGGGAGACGAGGACGGCTCTCTGTCATCTAGGTTCCGTCGAAAGTGCCGCCGGAGCGGAGCCACTGTTCGATCGGCCTCCGAACGACTCTCCGCTCCTCTTTGCCGCCCTTTCGCCTGGCCTTTCTTCGCCTAAAACCAATGGCGCACGTAAGCGTGGGGTAGGTCGAGCGCGCAATTATTCACGTCGCTGCAGCCCACGGGCCCTAGAGACTTACTCTCCCAGTCACCCTCGCCTCCCCTTCCAGACGCTATTACCACCACCACCACCACCACCACCCCATTCCTCTTATTGCATTATGGGCAAACGTGCCCACCACCACCACCACCACCACCACCACCACCACCACCACCCCATTCCTCTTATTGCATTATGGGCAAACGTGCGTCGATATTAGAGGGCAAACAGCGATCCCATCGATCTTCGCTCGTTTCTCGCCTCGCGCACGATTCTCCCAATCATCGGCTCTTTGGGCTACTCTCGCGCATCACCGATTCCCGCTGTAATGTAGCCTGACACGACGAGCTCAACCACACGACAATTTATAATTATATCGGATCGTCGCGATCGGTGCACAAGGCGACTAACTGCCAATGATACCCGCCAATAGCCATGCACGACCAGTGTCCGGTTTACACTAAGGGTTAACTGATAGTTTACTTCTTTCTTAATAACGTATGGGAAAATGAAAGGAGAAATGGGAAAAATTTTTTTAAAACGATCCAACGAAGATGAACAAAAAAAATCGGTTGAATAAAATCGGTAAAGATGTTGTTAATAAGAGGGTCGGTAGGGTGTTGTAGGGATAACGTAAACCTGACTTTAACCGTGGGAAATGGGAATGCTAGATTACATTGGCAGGGCGGATCCTGTCGTCGTCCCTGCCGTTGCGCCAATACCGGGAGGCAGCAGATTTTATTAATTTATAAGAACGTGATTGGCGATGAAGTTGAATGACCTATAGCGACGTTGAATTGACTTTCTCGTGGTTTATGGGATTTCTCTCTTTTTTTTTCTCTCTCTCTCTCTCTCTCTCTCTCTCTCTCTCTTTCATTTTCTTTTTTCTTTCATTTTTTTCGTTTTGTTTTTTCCTTTCTCTTTTCTTTTCTTTTTTTTTTTTTTTTTTTTTTTTTTTTTTTTTTTTTTTTTTCTGTCAAGGAAAGAACGAGATAAAAATCGATGCGCGGATTAAGCGATGAAGAATGCAATGAAACCACACGCGGAGATCCTATTACAGATAAGGAGTGGGTAAGGCTTCTGCCGAAGATATGACCAATCATCGGTATATTTTTTACGGCGCACTCTCTACCCTCTTACGACTATCACAGCTTGTACGATTTCTAATCCGCTTCGATATACCGAAGGAAAACGCGATTAAGTTTGAGATGTCCTCGTGAGGTTAAAGAAAGTAGCGATACGCATGGCTATAGGCAGCAGCGAGCACAGCGGTGCCTCGACGGTCCGTTACGAGCGCATTCGAACAGCCAGTGGAGTTTTATTAACGACATTATTGTCAATTGCGTGCACATTTTCGTGAAATGTAAGGCTGAATTCTGAAACTTAAGATCGGTCGCTACGGTTACAGTTACATCATTTACTTTCTTGCTCGTCCGCGGTTCTAGGATCGCGCCGACAAGCAAGGAACTAATCATGCTGTAACTATGACTGTGAATAAGTTTTGGGATTCTTATAATATAGTTGAGATATTTCCTTAACCACAGTGAACTCGTCGACGTTGACGCCGATGCACCTCAGGAAGGCGAAGCTGATGTTCTTCTGGGTGAGGTATCCGTCCTCGGCCGTCCTTAAGATGTACTTCCCGGACATCAAATTCAACAAGAACAACACGGCCCAACTCGTCAAGTGGTTCTCCAACTTCCGGTAAGTCGAGTCTCACTCTAAATAACCATTCGATTATTCGTTTTTCGATCCAACTGTTGCGTCCTATGAACAAGTCCCGTGTCGTCAGGCACCGCATCACATCAAACGGCAATAATGCCACGCACCGCCGCTCATTATCTACGGATCGATACGATCGAAACGCGCCCCTCCCTTTACGACACGTCTACGCGTTCGCCTCAAAATTTCTTTCCAACGAAACACGTCGCAAAGTAATAATCTCGGTACGTCGCTCATTACACTCCCTTAAGCCCTACGACCACCACAACCCCCCCCCCCCCCCCCCCCCCC